CTTATTCATGAATGGTGGATGTGAACGTAAGGGCATTCGGCCCTGAACCCTGGATTCGATTCCACGAATTTCCACCAACATGCCCCGACGTTGCGCCCTTAGGAAAGGCACTTAACACAGCTTTCCTCACTTCACTCAGGTGGAAATGAGTACCTAGCTTCGGTTAGGGACGTCCCTCGGATAGGACGTAAAATGGAGGTCCCGTGTTTGGGGAGAGCCACACCCCAAGCACGTTAAAGAACCCACCACACTTTTCAAAAAAGAGTAGGGGCATGCCCCGGTGTGTGATGGTCCAAATTATACTGTCTGGAAGTTGCAATAAAAAAATATCGTGTCTCCCTCTTCAGCAATTTAACCGAACTTGTAGGATTTGCCATCAACATCCAAAACCTTCCCGATAATCTCCTAGTACAATTACTGCTTAGAGGTTCCTCTTCTCTGTCGGCTTCTAACAACGCTAAACTCTTACAATGTGTTCAATTGTTTATAAAAGAAACGGAAAGATTTGAGTAACCATCAATTTCTTATCCTACCAGTTTGTTGATTGACTTGGAATGCCTACTTATTCACTTATCACTTACCTGCATATACTGTTATATATTTGTTACATATTTTATGATTTAGTTATAATGCGGCTTACTTTAGTTTACCTTATTACTCTTATGCTTTGCATGTCTGTATTTGTGACTACATGTATATATCTTTGTAACGATGACGACACAAACATAAGCATTGTAGCTTGAGTATGTCGTCATCCTGTCTTGTTACTAAATGTTATAATAAATAAAAATAAAAAAATAAAAAAACAAAAAAAAAATATGCCAGTTATTGCCGATTTCTCGGCAGATGGGCATTATCGAAAGAAGAACCCCAATATTCTGATATCTTCATATCAAATGCAGAAAGTTTGCAATCCTTTTCAAGTCTACATAATATGCTTAACTGTCTTGCAAGGCTCTGAACAATGAAACATGCATAAGGCACCTTGTATATATATATATACAACTCAACAAGTTTTTTTTTTCAGTGTAAAAATATTCTTGGGTTGTCCAAGTCTATTTGTACATATATCTTTCGTGGAAAGCATACTAGTGGTTGCCTTCAATTCTGTACAAAGAGAGCCAATAATACAAGTTCTAGAAAGGCAATTTTATGGATGACATCGTAAAAAAATCTGGGAAAATTTGGGAAAAAAAGGTATCTAACTTTGACTCTAGAGATCATAAAATATTGTGACGATTGAAGCAACAAAACATGGTATTATAGCCAACAAGTCTTTTATTCATGTAATCAAGGACATTACTGTATAATGTCCTTGTTGTAAATCAAGATATGCAGAAGATGTTGCAGCTAACAGCTATATCACTACAGCCACACTTAAGGCTGCCACATTTATTTCTACAACAGTTTTTAAAATCGCTGAAGGGGAAGGGTTTTTGTTCAAAACCTGGCAGATGTCATCCACAAAATTCACTTGATGTGGTTTAAGTGCTCAGCACATATTAATGTTTTATTGTTTCATTAATATTATCATTAACTGTACTAAATGCAAAACAAGATTCTAAAAAATGCCTGTAAGAGTGACGCTTAATGTTAGGGAATTACAGTACAAATATTTCTCCAGCATATATTGTGCCTGTGGTTAAAGATATGGACAGACGACACGAACATCAACCTTATGTTATGGGGAAGCCATCTTCAAGGCCCCCTTTCCCATTATATGGCAATTGCTAGATGACTGAGACTGGAGTTGTGTTACTCTTGATTTTATACTTGAAATATGATCTATTAAGTATGATGTAAAAGAAAAAAAAATGCTTTGTGTTTTCTTTAGAAATCTGTGAAATTTTTGGTTGATTTGTAATCTTCGTGTAACGCTACTCTTAACAATTTAAATTTATATGTTGAGCTTTGTAACAATTTAAATATTCTACTTTGTAACTTGTTGTGAAATACCACATTTGTAACAAACTTTATACAGTCAAACCTGTCAATGTGACCACCTGTTCAAGCTGGCCACCTAGCCATGGTGACCGCTTTTTCTCGGTCCCAAAAAAATTCCCCATTGACGCAAGCATTAAGCAACCTGTCTAAGGTGACCACCTGGCCATTGTGATCGCGACTGCCCTGAGTTACATGTATGTCCGCTCAAGGCCTGATACATGCCCATGGTGACCACATCATTTTCGATCATGTTGATTATTGATAACTAATGAGAAATCAGCCAATTGGCCTTGACTGCTGGATGTTTTGTTCAACGTAAATGGTTCCATGTGCCACACTCCGCACATGCATTCACCACAGAACTGAAGATGCTTACACAATTTGACATTAAAACATCTCGACTTGGAAACCATTTATGTCTCAGGCATGTTGTGAGGCAACCCTCTTCAAGGAGACCACTTGTCCAACCAAGGTGACCACTTTTCTTTGGTCCCCTGGGTGGCTGGCTTGGACAAGTTTGACTGTATAATTATGCACTTCAGGGAAAGCCTTTCCCTGCAAATACTGTAAATCACTTTATGTTTGCAGTAGCAAAAGTTTGCAGCTGAAAAAAAAAGTGAACATGTTTGCGGAACTATGTATATGTCTGGGGTGGTGGCAGGTGCAGCAAAAAGAAAGTCGGTGGATTATTTGTTCACGGTAATGATAAGTTTCTGGCACAGAAGTGACCACGAGAACTGCAAAAATTAAATTACTGCGAAAAAAATCGTGATTTACAGTATATATTTGGAATTGTAAAGAACAATAAATTTGAAGAGGAATAAATTTTTGTCACATTCCTTAATAGAAAGTGGGTGTAGCTGCAAATACCACACGTTACACAAACATTTTGATTGGCATGTGCAATGTAAGAAACCATATGGTCTAGTGGTTAGGATTTGGCGCTCTCACCGCCAAGGCCCGGGTTCGATTCCCGGTGTGGGAACCACTGTAAGAAACAGAGGCGAGCAGTAGAAACAGATAAAACCCTCCTGGTCCCGGGCTGGGATTCGAACCCACGGCCCTCGGGCGCCAGCTTACAATCTGATGCTCCTACCGAATCAGCTAAAAGGTCTAGACCCATCGGCCGGGTCAGTTGGTAGTGCCTACAAACTCCCCACTGTTACAGCAATACAAGTCTTTGTCAAAAATTGAATCCATGACAATTAAGTCATAGATGCAGTGGATTCATTCCTAATGACAAAGGCTGTTATGCAGTAAAAAAAAAATCTAGATTAAGTTGCATTCTTTAAGCTTGAAATTGAAGATAAAGATTCTTTTTTCAACTTTATTTTTACCTTCCTTGCATCCATCCAACTATCGTAACGGCTCACAGAACCAGATACACACATCTCCCTACTGCCTAACACTGTTAATAGAGAATTGGTAGCCAAACAGCTACTTCAGTGTGCTAAAGGTTTAGCCCCTGTACATGGTACAGTATAATCAGTAGAATATACAAATTTCTAAACAAAGATTCTAATATCATCTTACAAAAGATAATGCAAAACAACAGAGTTGACTGGAATATGTGACATCAATAATACACAACATTTACTTTGTGAGTCATACAGCTCTTTGAAGCGCAATGTTGCCGCCAATGTTTTGGTAGTCAAGCCTACTCTCCAAGCGGAGGTTTGGGTTTTGTGTTATTTTTGGCCTGTTTTTAGGCTTTTTTATCGGAGTTTATTTTTTACAAGTTTGAATTTTTTTTCACCCAACCCAACCGTATGGGTTAAATTCCAATGCAAAGAAGAAACCCTGATAAAAAAGCTTAAAAACATGCCCAAAATAACCCAAACCTCTGTTTGCCACAGTAAGGCAAGCCACCTTCCTTAGTGCAATATTGACTTCTGTTGCTAGATGGCGCTATAGTGCTGCAGTCCCAAATATGACCTTGCCCTGAGCAAGGAGGCCTTGAAAACATTGGGTATACAATGAAGAACCAGGGCTCGAAATTAAGGGTGGTCCAATGGCCACTGACCACTAAAATTTAGGCTGGGACAACTAAAAGACATTTTGGGACATTTTTGGGACAATAGAAAAATAATCATCAGAATGTCAGCCCTTCTTTTGTTTATCAGGCACACGTCCCTGTTTTTTGGATCCGGAAAAGTCCCCACAAATTTCAATTATTGTGCATCTGGGTGTGAACATAAGCAAAATAAATTTGACTTCAAGTTGAAGTCATAGAATACTAAAAAAAAAAACAGGTAGGGTCAGTTCATCCTCACTTCGAAAATTTATTTTTTGGGACAATACTGGGACAATAGGAAGAAAAGTTAATTTCGAGGCCTGAGAACTCTATTTTATTATAACATTATTTACCAACCTGATGAAACTATTCACAGAAGCACTTTACTTAGTCCAAAAATATGATATCCGTACCAATATCATTGGATATCATCATGACAATGACACAATATAGCTGAGGCTGAATATATGACCTGATTGACCAATTTTGAATCATGTAGAAGACTGTGTGGATCAGTTCAGGGCTGTCTCCAGCTTTAAATTTTCTCTAGAGGGTCTATAGGGTCCTGGAAAAGTTGGGAAGTTCCTCACAAATCCAAGGGGTCCTGGAAAAGTTTGAAAATTCCAACACTCTGAAACACTATTCCATACATTTGAAAATCATATTGTTGTTATGTCATCTTCGGCTCACAAAAAAGACTTTTGCTATGACGTTTTCTTTTTTTTTTTAAGGACATGCAGGGTGAAATTTTTGTCTGTTCCTTCTTGGTTCCAACAAGCAAATTTCCATGCCAGAATAGAAAAAAAACAGGTCCTGAAGACAGCCCCGAAGTTGTTCCAACATGGCAGTGCAAATGTTTATGTAACGATTCATGATTAAAACACAACTTTTGTGATAATGTTGACAACATTTATAGAAATCCGATGCTTGGATGAATTACCGGTATGATATCACATTTGAAGCATGCAGCATTCATGAAATCCTGGTAAAAACCCTACAAAACTGTTTGATAAACATTTTGTTACCTGGTAACTTTCTAAAGATTTTATTACGGTACAACTTGACAAAAACAACACCCAAGCATGTATTCCTGTGCTACATGTGCTAATAAAACAAGCAAACTATTTCAAATTCTCTTGTAAATGTGAAGTCGCAAAATCAAAAACAGGTTCACAATTACATTCAATGTAATGTGATGTAATGTGATGAGATTCAATGTAATGTAGCCTGTAGTGCATTGCTGTCTGCTTTTGGAAATAGGAGAGCCTCAACAAATCAATTGTCGATATCAAGAATACTTGTAAGGTTCAAGTAAATGTTCTAAACTTTCACGACACAAGTGCCAGTGAATACAACAAACTGAAACACTGACAATTTGTTACATCCTTTTTCACAGCTTAAATCAGAATGGAACAGTTCTAGAGAGTCAAAATTATCCAAGAAGACCACTCACATGACTTTGGGGACCCATAAAATCAAGACCATGTGGACAGGTGGTCACTATAGACATATTAATTCTCGAGACAGTGGGAAAAATTATCTAAGGGGGCATCAAAAAGGGGTCACGTTGCCAGGTGTAAATATGGTCACTAAAACAGGTTTTACTGTACTTTCCAAGCAGAGGTTTAGGTTTTGGGGTATTTTTAACATGTTTTTAGGCTTTTTATGGGGGTTTCTTTTTTGTACTGGAATTTTTCTGTGAAAGAAAAATTCCAGTGCAAAAAAGGACCCCAATAAAAAAGCCCGAAAACACGTTTAAAATACCCTAAAACCCAAACCTCTGCTTGGAGAGTAGTTTTACTGTAATTCTTTTGACTTTGCACCCAACAAGCTAAGCCCTCCGTTAGTACAAAAATGTAAGTATCTCATTTTTTATTAGCATAGTTTTCACGAGTCTGCCTGCCCCTTACAGGCACTGAAGATACATGTACATTTACCTTAGGGAACTGTTATTGAACTAAATATGTAATAGTGGTTGCGGTTTTGAATACTGAAATGCCCCCCTCCCACTCAAGGCCCTGCCTACCATCTTGCATGTTATACATATATATACATAGGTAAACAAAATAGGTCAAAACTGCAAGAGCTACATATAAATTGACTAAAAGCGCACACAATTCCTTTATAATTACAGTTTAAACTATTGGGTAAATGATATTTTTTGACACACATACATAGCGAATTTACCAAACAAAGTTTTAGAAATCCTCCTATATTGAATACTGGGTTGTAATGTTACTTGCCACTGCTAGGTGGCGTTGTAGTGAGGAGGATACAGTCCCCAAAGTGCACCAAAAAAAAACAATTACTCAAGCAACTGGATATGATTCTGGAAACGGTCAGACACTTCAGGTAGCATCCACTAGCTTTCATCAGTGACACTGTACACTTGTCAGAAAAGCAGGTTTATAAGCACAAACTATTGATTGATATGCAAATGAAAAGTGAAAACAAAATTTTTGGAAGTCCAAAAGGAAACAAAAGTTATGTCTTACCTCTGGCCGTTTCCAAAATCATATCCAGTACTAGTTGCTTGAGTAACAGTTTTTTGGGCGTATCTACCAGAGTAGATTATAAATCTGATTTTCGTTTGTAGGTAAATTTCTCCTCGTTGTGCAATCAAAGAACTTTACTACCCACTTATTATTTATCAACCTGATGATGATGAAACTATTTATGAAGTTTGAAATTATATCATTCATATCCATTAGTAAGTAGGTACATGTACATGTATTAGCACCTCTGCAGAACGTACTGCGCCTGTGCAAAACCCCCATTTTCATGGTTTTCCATCTTCTATAATGGATTTCGTTGGATTTTTGGTCAACATTGCATCAGTATTTTGCCTGTTGCAGACAATATTTTTTCCGACACAACATTCGGAATCTACTGATGGGATGTTAACCTTATATACTCAAATACGAAGTCATATGAGATGCTCTGCCGAAGTGCTATGCCAGGGTTCTCCCCAGAAACTTTTAGTATGAGGAGGAAACTTACCGAGCACACACTAAGCGACGCTCCGGAGGAGGAAGCTATAGCATTTTGACTGTTATAAATAGAAATGGAGGCCATTTCCTGCAATTTCAGCCTTCTGTCTTTCCTAAATATACAAGTTACACATAATAGCTTAAGAGACTCCAACACCAAGTTGAAAGAAAAGAAATGGCACATTTAACCATGATTTAACTTCAAGATCAAGGTGTTGGGACTCTTCTAGCTTATTACTATAATTGGAAACTCAATTTTTATGTGGTTGTCATTATGCATTTATTTGCCGGTAAATGTGTAACATTATAACAAGACAGGTAACAGCATCTTATAGAAGTCACAAGAGGATACATCTCCTTTATTTGTAGTTCTGCACCAAGCAGTGCAGCACTTGTATACACTACTACTAGAACAGTCTTCACTATAGCAGGGTTCTCCCCAGGATTTGAGAGACATGGCCCCCCCCTCCAGAGGGGGGAAGCTGAAGCATTTTTCTTTATCTAAATACAATTATGGAAGCCATTTCCTGCAACTTCAGGTTTTGAACTGCCAGAAAAAAATGTTAACATACAGGAAAAAATTGGGCATAGGTTCCACGCTCTGACCCCTAACCGGGGGCCAACGGTGCCTTCAAGTTCGACAATTGAAACAGAATATGACATTAAGTCATACATTTTCCACTTGGAACTTGAGGCAAGCAATTATGGGAAAATGTAGAGAAGCTGGGACAAAACCTTATCCTAATGCTAATCCTTATGTTATCACCAACTTGTAAACAAGTCCCTTATAATTATCAAAGTACCATCAAGAGTACCATCAAAACAAAATTTCACTTCTCTAACATTAAATAATCGGTCTCATGTTTAGGACTAACAAAGTTACACATTCAAGAAAATACTTTTGAATTTAAAAAAAAAAGAAGAAAAAAAAAGAAATCTGAAGAAAAAATTATTAATCTGCACAACATTTTTATTGGTTTCTATCCCTTTGCTTGTCTACAAGTCGATAATGTGATTGTATCAATTTTCAAACGCCCTAAAATTAGCTAAATCGGCGAATTAAGGTGATTGCGCAATGGACGTGCCCTATGACCTTCGACCTTTTGGGGGTCATGCAGGCGTCAACAGTGCCCTCCCCATGCCTTGCCCGTCCGTTTTCGTCGGCAAATTTCTGCTTTTTTAGAGGTTTTGAGACCTTAAAACTCATACCATGGGAGAAAAAAACCACATACGTTATTTTTATGGTAAATATCGCTAAAATGGACCATGCATTTTTTTGTCGCGTTGCCGATTTTTGGCAGAAGCCTTGCGGTGCGGCCGCCATGTGCTACGCCGATAGGTACGGGCCGTCCCCCGTACCGGGTTTGTGGGCAAAATTCAGCTTTTTTTTAACGTTTTCGGGACTTAAAAACCGACAGCAGGGGAAAATTAATCGTATACGTTATTTTCATGGGAAATACCGCTATCATGAACCAGACATTTTCTGTCGCGTCAACGAATTTCGCGGCCGCCACATGCTTCATAATGTCGCGGTACGGTAGGGAATTTTCTACGGTTTATAAGTTCGTAAACGTATCGGCTTTTATTTTTAAACTTATTATCAGGGTCGAGGGCTTTGGTTTACAAAGAAATCAGACAATTAGCTTTCTTTACACGACTTCAAAACGCTAGCGGGGCGCCCGATGTTCCACCAATGACAGCGATTCTCTCAGTAGCGTCGTGCGAAATACTCATTGTTTACTCGATTATCGCCCCATTCACAAGTTTTCAGAGACAATGCCGGCGGGAAAATAGACGCCACTAAGCCCCGAAATCAGGAAATTTTATCGAATTTTAGCGAAATTTGTAGAAAAATCGGGATGCAACACCCTAGATTTGAAAATGAGTATGAGGGCGCTGAGCTAGGAGTATCAGGGCGCAGCGCCCTTGTTCCATCGTCTGGGGAGAACCCTGGCTATGCATAGCCTCCTTCGCAGTCTTGTTGGGCGTGGGCGTAATTTTTTCTCTGAGCGACGCGAGTAATATGCCGCCGCGAGGGACGATTTGCTGCCGAGGGACTTTTGCCACGGAGAGAAGGTTTCCGCGCTCCAACAAGACTGCTTCCAATCGGCGAGTAGAAAGGACCTCGGATTAAGCCAGCCTTTCATAGAGGCTATTAACATGTTCGTGCAGGTCCAATTCACATGTTCGCGCAGGTCCAATTCACATGTCCGCGCAAGGGTAATTCACACATACGCATGACACGCGCTCGCCTTTGTCAACGGTTGGTTTTATTAGTGGAAGGTTCCAACAGAGAAAGAGTGAACATTGGTAATGTTACAACAAAGACATTGCTGTGCATATTTAAGCATCCCATGCAAACAAACCAAGACAAACTTTGCAGTACTATTTTTGCTCGTGAAATGTGCCATTCTTTCTATTACGCAACTTGCTGCGGAGCGGTGCGTTACCCTCCTTTGACCAGTGAGATCAACCCGCCACCAAACAACATGGCGGCACTTATCTGTCCACGTCCCCCTGCAATATCACAGTTTAGCTTGCGGGTTCCTGTAGTAGTGATCTGTTCAAAGTTATTTTTCGTAGCAGCAATAACTACGGGATTTTGTTGGGTGGATAGGGCTCGGTTTTCGGGAATGGTTGGCGTTCTACCGACGGGTTGATCGGCTACCGCTAGAAAGTTGCAAGTTTTGGCTCGTCGAGCAACGGGGCGTGAACACCTCCCTGCACTGGTGGCGTTTATTGCGGGAAGTTCACACATCCATGCCAATCGCTCCTAATTGTTTTTTGATAGCCCTTTCTACTCGCCGATTGGAAGCAGTCTTGTTGGAGCGCGGAAACCTTCTCTCCGTGGCAAAAGTCCCTCGGCAGCAAATCGTCCCTCGCGGCGGCATATCACTCGCGTCGCTCAGAGAAAAAATTACGCCCACGCCCAACAAGACTGCGAAGGAGGCTAGGCTATGCACAATACATTACAGGTTTCACACAGGTGTAGTACGTTCTGCCGACGTGCTGCTAGTATATGTACTAAAGTAAAGTATCAAAGATTCTGCGCGGCAGCCTCTCTGGCTGTCTTCTGTCGTTTGTGCTGGTGCTGTCTTCTCCTGGTCTCTGCTCTGACCTGTTCCACCAGCTGTGTGGAGTTGTTACTCGTGGTCCCTTCAGAGGCGACAACCGAGATCGGGGCGTCTGTCACATCCTGGCCGTTACCTCCAGCTGAAAGAACAAATGAATACACCTTTCTTGGCATGATGGGAAACAAAATGGCGGTGCCCATGGAGGGTCCCTAGCACAAAACAGGATGTTGACAGTAATAAACCACCTTTAGGTGCTTCTTGGAGGAGCTGCATCATTCATTCCCATCATACACCTCTTGGCATGATGGGAAACAAAATGGCGGCGCCCAAGGATGAGACCTAACTCAAAACGCGATAACTAACCTTCTGGTGCCTCTCGGAGGAGCTGCAGCAGTTCTCTCTTGGCATGATGGGAAACAAAATGGTGGCACCCATGGATGAGACCTAACTCAAAACACGATAACTAACCTTCACAGGAGCTGCCGCAGCTCTCGCTTGGCATGATGGAATACAAAATGGCGGCACCCATGGACGAGCCCTAACACAAAACAAGATGTTCTACCGTATGTAATTTATAACTGACCTTCTGGTGCCTCTTAGAGGAGCTGCAGCATTCTTTCCCTTCATATACCTCTCTCTTGGCATGATGGGTAACAAAATGGCGGCACCCAAGGACGGGCTCTAACCCAAAACAGGATGTAATAACTGACCTTCTGGTGCCTCCCGGAGGAGCTGCAGCAGCTCCATGGCCTCCTGCGTTCTCCGCCTGTCCAGAACCCTCTGCTGACAGGCCTCCTGCAGCTGCTCCACCGAACCCTTATCCAGCTCAAGCTGAGACGTCAACTCCTCAACATCAGCATCAGACAGGAGCTGGGAAACCAAAAGGTGATGTTCAGAACTCTTCTATACTACATGTAGATGAGAATATCAGCATCAGACAGGAGCTGGGAAATCAAAAGGCTACGTTCAAAAGCCTACTATACTAAACGAGGAAATGTCGGTGAAGGTTAGACACCCAAGTAAGAAGATACGCCAAAAAGGAGTTACTCAAGCAACTGGATATGATTTTGGAAACGGTCAGATAGACATTTCAGCTAGTATCCACCTTTCGTCAGTGACACTAAGAGACTGCAGGAGAAATGCAAGTTTATACGCATGAAATACATGTATTGATTGATACTTCTTCAAGAAAGCAGCAGAACACTTACCTCCAGCTGAAACGGTGTAAAGGAAACGATGGCTGCGATGTCCTGACGTAACTTCCTGCACAGCTGCCGGACTTCGTTGTCTGTGGAGAGGTCTACAATAGGCCCGGCCGTGTCAGTCTCATCAGTACCGTCTGTCTGTGTTACATCTGTCAATCAGAGAGTAGAAGATTTTTCATTTGTTTCATTATATTCATCAAAACTATATACATGTATATCAGTTCAGTTTTGGTTGTCTGTACCGTTTGTTTGAATGACACCTGTCAATCAGAGAGTGGAAGGTCTTCAGGTGCTCAACCAGTGAACTCAGTTAACATTGGCACTTGTACGATAGTTACATTATGTAACCCAACACTAGTTACCATGGTGACAGACGTCTGGCTCAGGTCATTGACCTGATTTGTTTGGAGAAGAAAAGGAAGAAGAAACACAGAAAAAACAATGTTTTCCTTCTGCAAAGGTAAACATACATGACTGTCATAATACGTAATAACTACAGAAACGCTAGCCTCTACCAGGCTTGAGGAGGCGGCTGGAAAGAGTAGAAATCGGCCAAAATAGAGAGATAAGCATGCCAAGGGAGTTTGGCCGTTGAGAGAACAGTTCGCCGCCCCACAAGCCTGTCGGTAGTCGCCATTTCTTTGAAGTCCACTAATCGCTATCTCATAGGTGCCAAGTAGCTAAATTACCCCTTTATTGCTTTGCGACTGGGCCGTGACGGACAGTGACACGAACGGCTGTGTGAAGTCTCAGAGAGGTCAGGAAAATTTCAAGTCCACAGCCGCGGAACATTTTCCCATAAAAAAAAACACACAAAACTCCAAGAAAAGAGAACCCTATAATATTCAAGACCTTCCCGACCATGTTGCCGATCAAGATATTGGTGGATAAGCAGCATGAGCCCCCGTTTTCAGTCTGGCGCATGCTTCCCTGTCGCTAGCGGCGTGGGGTACAATGGCCGCGCAGGGGTACAATGGCCGCGCCGCACCCGGTGCGGTGCAGCCGGCAATAATCCGAGTTAACTAATATTATTTCCAATATCAGTATAACTATAGTAGTTTTTTTTTCATTCCCGACAATATACAGTTTGTTTAACTATAGTACCGGCCGGCTGTCTTCTCTAGACGTATACACATGGGCGCGGCTCCCCACGACGCGCTGGTTAGTTTATTGCTTAAATGATCTTCTGCGCTGAGATAGTTCTTTTGTTGGATTAATGGTGGGATTACTTTTATGCCGTTTGATCATGGCGACTACCGACAGGCTTGTGGGGCGGCGAACTGTTCTCTCAACGGCCAAACTCCCTTGGCATGCTTATCTCTCTATTTTGGCCGATTTCTACTCTTTCCAGCCGCCTCCTCAAGCCTGGTAGAGGCTACAGAAACGCAAGCAAATTAACATAAAAACATTCAAAACACAGACACAACAAAAACTTGAAGAAGTATCTTGCTCTCTGCTTACCGTCTGGTACGTCTGGTCTCCACTCCTGTCCCTCTGTGAGCAGCTGCACGACAGTCTGGTCTGGGATGAACTGGAAGAACTCGTTATCGGCCACCACCGTACCATCCTCCTCCAGAACTATGCTCAGGTCTTCCTCTTCTGGCAGGTTCAGATGTTGTCTTCCTATAAATGTAAAGCAAAACAAGAAATCAGAGATTTTAGATTTCCGAGAAGTAGCAGAGACAAAGTCGATTGGAACTGCATTGTGGAATCCGTTCTCTGTTCTCTTTAACTGTTTTTGTTTAATGACTGACCACAGATATTATGATATATCCAACAGTTACTGTACATTTGGGACCGCATTGTAGATACAGTTCCCTAACCACACATATGTGTAGATTTGTAAATATTGTACGTTTGGGGTTCATCCATAGCAGCGACACCTGTGCTGCAGTGCAATGTGAACCAGGCAGAATTGCCCTGAGGAAGGTGACAGACGGTCACCAAAACATCATCTATAAATAAAATGTATATACATCATAATCAACATGCCCGTAGCCAGGGGGGGTTCCACTTTTTATGTATAGGTATAAGAGTTTTTTAAAAAGATGGACTGATTCGTGTCACCAGCGAGGCTGGAATCGTAGGAAAATGGTTCACTTTGTCATTAAAAAAGTTTAATCTCTGATTTTTTTCTTTGAAATCCTCTAAAAAAACCACAGGAAATGCCATTTCAGAAGGTACATTTTTCAAAATTTCTGACGCTCGCTGGTCCCTCAAGCAGTGGGAACCCCCCCCCCCCCCTCAAAATACTGGCTACGGGCATGATCAATGACTGGATCCTACTATATATACAGTACCACCCCATGTAACTCTGCCCTCATGACCTCAATGAAATGTCAGTGACCTACAGAACGATTTGAGCTCAGTCTCATGAATATTCATATCTCGTTCAAGGAAAATCCCACCAGTTCAATGCGACCATGTACACTGTACATGTACACTGGTCTTGCTGTCCCCAAATGAACTATTGGAACAGAACCAAGAAAGTCCAAACCAGCAGGTGGCTTGGAATTGACACTGAAGTACTGGTAGTTCTATAGCTATTGGCTATATGGAGTTATACATGTAGGTGGGAGGGGGGAAAGGGCATTGACCCAGCTAAATTTATCACTACCGGTAGCAGGAATTGACAGGCTCACTGAGCCCATTTCACATGTAGTGAGACTCAACTCTGGGTAGGAATCGCAGCTGTTGGTGGGATGAAAATGGTTCTTTGTTCACAAATCACAACTGCACGGTTTTTAAAGACACACATGTCACAACCAATGCATGTCAATTGCAGTAAAATACTGTATTAGCATTTCTTGGAGATTGCTGTTCAAATGGCATGGTTATCAAGTTTTTTTCAGAAAAAAAGCGAGTGAATCTGACTAGCAGCCTCCTAAGTACAACATCAAACTGAAATTGTCTTTTCTTCACTTCTCTGACACACCGAAACACTCATTTATTATTACATGTACATCGGATGTTGTCTGTCCATTAGGTCAATGACCCCAAGCTTCTGGCATTGTATAACAGTCAGTAAGTGAATCCAACAACCAAGAAATAGAACTGGTGTGGCCCAAGTATGGTTAGGACAATAGGAATATTTACCACTACCAGTAGTTTATTTGATCCTTAAAAATCACATTTCACCAGAGTTATACTACTGTACGTAACTGACATTGTATAACACAGGCTCGTGAATCCAGCAACCAAGAAACAAAACTGGTGTGGCCTAAGTATGGCTAGGACAACTGGAATATTGACTTACTAGTACATGTATTAATCCTTAAAAATCACATCTCAACAGAGATATACAGTACTGTACATAACTGTACACAGCCTGATGAATCCAGAAACCAAGAAATAGAACTGGAGTGGCCCAAGTATGGCTAGAACAAAAAGGAATATTGACTTACCAGTAGTACAGTAATCCTTAAAAATCAGATCACCAGAGTTAGTAGTTTGTGTATCACATTACTGCGCTGACCTGGCCTGACCTACACGACATGACCTCAGGTAACCCTGCCTGCCCGTTGAAGTCCGATACACGCAGAGCCAATGAACTTACCAGGATCATGTCTGCCCATATAAATAACCTACAGCACACTGGAGCAGCCATTTGGCTCCCAATTCCCGATTGGTTATGGGGTTAGGCAACAGGGAGAGAATAAAATCAATGGTGGGGTAACTCTCGGTCATTTGATTGGAATTGTCTGTTCAGGATGATCAGGCTAGGTCATTGTATGTCAGGCTTTTAGCTAGGATTTTTTTGGTGGGCGTCCATTTTTTTTTATTGTATGCTATGCACAGTGAAGACATGCTGAGTGCAAGATTTTAGGGGGGCTTTTTTGAAATTCATAATGCTCTCAAACACTACTTTCTGCATTTTCAGGTGTAAATTTGAGTTTTTTCCTTCAGTAAACCATCATTTTTGTATTTATAGTAAGGCTGAAGGGAGGCATGTGTGCATGGCAAGGGTTGGGAGTGGAAAAAATAGGGTGTCTTTAGGGTGTCCTACCAAAAAGTAGGGCGTCCAATTTCTTATTATTTTCAGTACAGGGCGTCCAAAAGACACCCTGGACACCCCCTAGCTAAAAGCCTGTTGTATGTGTTCGAAATACCAATCTGCATTCTGTGTTTTGCACAGGGATTTTCAAAATTGCAAAAGAAAAATTATACAACCTGCAATTCTGCATTATATTTTAGGTTGAGAGAAGGTTGTAAACAATGTAGCAAGGAGGCTTGTGTATTTGCAGAAAGTGTTTTTTTTTTTAAATTGCAGAACAAAATTTTGACTCATCTGCAATATTGCAGAACATTGAACAAAAGTATTTCTACCACTACTGTTACTTTAAGTGTATACAGTGGTCGAAATACTTTTTTTCAGTGCTCTGCAATATTGCAGAAGAGTCAAAAGTTTGTTCTGCAATTTGAAAATACTTTCTGCAAATACACAAGCCTCCATACTACAACCTTCTCAAACCATTAATGTCTTTTTTACATCATATATACCTTTGTAAATCTGTAGCATCACTGTAATTCTTTTAAGTTTAATCTATCACTCTTTTTAATTTCAGACTTTATAGATCCTTCTCCACAGAAAATTTATCATTTACTGGTATCTTCACAGGTCTTTCACCGCTGTCTCCCACTACAAGCTACTACAACTAAAATCATACCTTACCTGTAAATGTACTACCTGTAATCACACCCACATATCATCCTTCCACACAACATACTAATAAAAGACACGCAAAAAAAAACAGTACTTAACTCTTAAGCAACTCGATATATATGATTTTGATGCTACCTGAAATGGTCAGACTACTACCCCTTTCGTCTGACACTAACAGAACTACAGGTTTATAAGCATGAACTATTGATTCATATGCAAATTAGTGAAGACAAATTTTTGGAAGTCCAAAGGGAAACAAAAGATAGACAAGTCAAGACAAGGATGATGCAAATTAGTGAAGAAGCTCCTGCTGCTTCAAAACAGACATAAGTGTTGTCTGTCCTTGGGGCCAGAGTGTTCTTTGCTAAATTGAAAACTATTGAATCTGAAGCCTATTTTTCCTTCTGCAAAATTGCAGATTGTATAAATTTTTCTTCTGCAATCTTGAAAATCTATCTGCAGATTGCAGATTGCAGACAGGTATTTCGAACACTGGTATATGTACATTATAACCTCCACATGGCCCTCCTGTGGGGGTACAAATTATAGAATTCGCCTAAAAATTAGTAAAATACAATGTAAGTAAGAAAGGAAATGATTTGACAGGATCTAGACTCAGTCTGTGGGAGGGTTAATTTCCGTCTAACAGTGGGGGGAAATGAACTCTGTGCTGGCTAAACTCCTCTGCTTGGAAGTATTCTCCCTATTTGGTTACGTTTTTATGATTCTGAATGTGTGTTGTTAGTCAGTGGTAGAGACTACAAGTACTAGTAGTAGTACAGTAGCTTACTAAAATAGTAGTAGCACTGCATGAAAATTTATTTATGAGATTAAATTTAGAACAGGCTATAGAAGCACTCACCAGGTGCACTTACGAACCTAATGGTATTAGCTGAAAATTTGGTATAGAATTACACATAGCTTTGGTTATTGGGATAGAAAGCCAATGTTTGAGGTCAGCCACACCTAAAGCATGTTAAACTTTACGATCCCACCACACTTATGGAAAAGAACGGAGGTCCATTCCGATGTGAAACTTACCAAATCATCTTATGTACCTAACGTGTTTACACAGTACAAAACTGGCATTTATGCTTGAGGGCGATTTACCAGTTTTGTGAAACAAACAAGGTCAATTCAAAATACAAGCCCAGTTTGTGTTGGTGTTGATAACAATCTACATGTATGTCCTGCTCACTGACTTTTCAGGTCAAGGACTTGATGTCAAGCAAGGAAGAATTATGGAAGGAAGGAAGAAAGGAATATCATAAACATTTACAGAAACACAACAAACATGGAACGTGACCAGCAAAATGCATCAATCAAGTATAACCATCAATCTACCAAGATGTCCAATTTGATTTCTGATGACCTAGAACTATTTTCATATTTTATATATGACAAAGGTACAACCATCATAGTATTCATACAACTGGTACTACTTAGTACCGGTAACTTAAGTATGCAGTAAATCTTTAAGAAGTTAATTTTCAATTGCTGTTTTTTGCTTCGTACTACAAGATTAATATAATTTCCAAGCAGATGAAGCAGACTTTTCTCAGTTTTTTTTTGGGGGGGGGGTCACATTTGTGGTGTTTTGTAATTTTATTTTTAGTCTGTATCTGTACAACTGGTATTGCCACCAATTGGCATACAATGTATTACAAACACACCAGCTTGAAACATAAGCTTGGTGATTTGTTTAGCTTCATACCTTTATCCTGCCCAGGGGGGCTAAATGCTGAACTGTATGACTATAAAATTGAATTACATTTGCAGTGGTTTCATTTTGCAACTTAGATCTAGGAGGGAAAAGAAGATTTTTTCTAAAATTCGCTATCAAAACAATTCTGTATACAAATGTACATACAGTGTAACACATCAGTCTTCAATGGTCATAAATTTGCAAAGAGGTCATCACAAAGAAGAAGTGAAAATAAAACCGCTGCAAAAGATTTCC